CGTCGGGGGCTGCACTGAGCCAGGCGCCCTGGGACCCGCGCGATCCTGGACCGGCTGCGCATGGAGCTAAGGATGGAGCTGGGGACAGAGCGCGACAGAGCGGGGCTTGGACCTGGGACAGAGCGGGACTTGGAGCTGGGACAGAGCGGGACAGAGCGGGGCTTGGAGCTGGGGACAGAGCGGGGCTTGGAGCTGGGACAGAGCGGGGCTTGGAGCTGGGGACAGACGGGGACAGAGCGGGGCTTGGAGCTGGAACAGAGCGGGACTTGGAGATGGGCAGGGACCTGGGATGGACCTGGGGGTGTATATGGGGACAGATCTAGGGCCAGATCTGGGACAGATCTGGGACGGACTTGGGATAAATCTGGGACAGACTTGGGATAAATCTGGGACGGACTTGGGAATAGACCTGGGGAGAGACCTGGAGATGTCTCTGAGGATGGGTGTGGAGATAGACCCAGGGACAAACCTGGGAATGAACCTGCGCACAGACCCAGGACAGACCGGGACAGACCCAGGACAGTCGTGGCCCAGCGGGTCTCTCCTCCGTGTCCCCTTTGTGCCCAGCTCCCCCGTGGGCAGCAGCGGGTTAAGGCTCCCCCGTTGCTGCCTCTGTGCGATCAGATAAGGGGCTGATTGCGGCTCCAGACACGGGTCAGCGCCCGCGCCCGGCGGCTCCTCCTGACGCAGCGCGGCCGGGCGCACGCGTGGATGCGTGGACGGGTGCCAGGCCTGGCCGAGCTCCGTGTCCCCCCCTGCTCCCGGGCCTGGGAAGGGCCGGATCCCAGGTGGGGAGCCCCGAATGGGGCCGGGGTCCCGTGTCCTGAGGTTGTGGTGTTTGGGATTTACTGCCCTGGCGGTGTTCAGGATGAGGCACTTAGGGCTGTGGCTTTGCAGGATGGTCTTGAGGGGTTTACACTGATCTTGAAGGTCTTTTCCAACCGTAATGATTCTACAAGGGGCAGGGCCCAGGCTGCATCCCGAGCACATGCTGCATTTTGGAGCGTCACCAAACGTGCCGGTGCAGGGTGCAGCCCAAGCGGGAGGCCCGGGATGCGGGGTGCATCCTGAGCACAGCCCCCGGGTGCAGCCCAAATGCAAGGCCCCAGCACGGACCCAGGGGTGCAGGATGCATCCTGGACATGGAGCCAGGCTGCAGGCTGCATCCTGGTCACAAACGGAGGGGTCAGCCCAAGTTCAAGCCCCTGGTGCATCCCAAACATGCGGCCAGGGTGCAGGCTGCGTCCTGAACACAGAGCCAGGTGCAACCCTGGTGGCACCCCAGGGTGCTGGATGCAGCTGTAAAAGGTGCTCAGGGTGCAGCCCAATCCAGGTCCCCATGGAAGAACCCCCTGGAAGCCCCTGTGGTTGTCCTGGGACAAGAACACGGGGGGCTCCCTGCGCTGCTGCCTCCCCCAATGCCC